TGTGAAGAACGAAAAAGCTTTTAATCAACTTTTACATCAAAAATTTAGGTGACAACTTTTTCAAATTTAGGTAGCAACTGTTTGGATTTTTGGCAATTTTTTAGCAACTTTTTGGCATGCAATCCAGTGAGCAAGTTTTCAGCATTATACACGCACGTGATCGGAACACGCCTAATTGTACGGAGTCCTTTGTTTGTAACGAGTTAAAAGCTTTGAAACCAGCTGAGATGATTATTTAAACTGGAGCGCCAGTGTCACTGAGATCCATAAATAAATAAATAAATCCAACTCTGAAAAAGACTTCATGAAGCTCCGCATTAACTGTGAAGCTAATACCCAAACTAGAAGTGTAATATGAAATGATTCATGCGTAGCTATAGGTTTTCCTTGTTTTATAATCACTTTGTGGCCGGTAACCTTCTAATTAGCTTGATATATTCTGATGTACACTGTAAGTGGATTTGGTAGACAAGTCAGTTAGAATCGAAAAGTTACAAATTTGTGTCAGAAACAAAACTTATGGTAAAATCATGATGTTCGACTGACGCCAGACTTTTCAAAGGAAGTCTTTTTTTGACCGTCTAAATTGAGTCTTAATTTTTTTACAAATTATACTTCACTGGGTCAGAGGTACCGACCAGCGCTTATTGCTTAACGTTTGGCTTACGCACTCTCTCCGATAGAGGTATATCCGAATACCTACTCAACGATGTAAACGGGTGGTAAATGTTTCAAATGGCTGGTTTACTTCTGTCTTTGCTCAGCTATAGCTCGGGACAGCTGTTTTAACAGTTCTAAGAAAAATTTTAATGCCTTAATAACTCTGTTTAGACAATGTTCCAAATATGGATTGAAAGAACAAAGAAATATTTAATGGACGGTCCATTTGACACGTTTGTGATATTAAAAATTATCTCACGCGGGACGCTTCTTCGGTGAGGATATTCTTAAGTGGATATACGTACTGGTCCGTCTTAACATGCTTGAGTTATCTTCTGTATCAGTGAAGACAGTTTTATTTGTTGCTGTTCTTTTGGCGACAGGTAGGGTTATTGTGGTTTACTTTAATTCTGATTTAAATCGCAAATTATTATAGTCATTGACGATATACTTTGATGTGATTGTAGCCCAGAGCACAAAGTTATTCAAAGATCCTCAGAGCTAGTGTTAAATTGACT